ATAGACGAAACATAATTAAAACAAAAATGGTGTAATTTGTCAATTTTTTGTTTAAAAATCATTAATTTTTCTAATTTATATACATTTCATGGTTTTAACTGCTAATTTTCATTAAATAGAGGCAAATGATCGTTTTTGATATATAACCAAATTGACGTTTAAAACGTCAAATCTTGTTGCACACTGGGATGAGATTTGTTTTTAGGTGGCAAATAAAACTTCCTACATACCGTTAATAATAATATTTACAACAATAATAATAGGCTTTGGGTAATACAATGGTATTGCTGATAAATTAAATAAAAATACACACAAAACTTGACTTTTATTTCGATATTTCCACCCAAAAATCACCGTGTCCACCAAAAATTTATTTTTACCCACCGTGCGGATTTCTCTGTTATACACGTGGCGCCATCTGTCAGTAAATAGATGAACCACAATTTAAACTTAAGAACGGTTTGCAATTTGCAGTTTTAAAATCATCATGGCTTTAAATGGTAATTTCTATTAATTAGTGGCAAAAATTGTCGTTTTTGATACATAACCAAAAGTGACGTTTAAAACGTCAAAATATTGTTGCACAGTGGGACCACATTTGTTTTTAGGTGGACAATTAAAACATAGTTTGTTAAAAAAAAATCTTTCAATACTTTGTCATAAATGCACAGTATGCACACTATAAAAAATGCCCTATCGTACCTACCGTTAATAATAATATTAACAACAATAATAATGGGGTTTGGGTAATATAACATGGTGATGCTGATAAATTAAATAAAAATACACACAAAACTTGACTTTTATTTCGATATTTTCACACAAAAATCACCGTGTCCACCAAAAATTTATTTTTACCCACCGTGCGGATTTCTCTGTTATACACTTGGCGCCATCTGTCAGTAAATAGATTAACCACAATTTAAACTTAAGAACGGTTTAATTTTGCAATTTTTAGTTTAAAAATCATTATTGTTTTTAATTAAAACTTATATAATTCACATTTCATGGCTTTAAATGGTAATTTCTATTAATTAGTGGCAAAAATTATCGTATTTGATACATAACCAAAAGTGACGTTTAAAACCACAGAACATAAGAGAATTAAAAGCGCTGTAGTCAAAAGTGGCAACAAGCATTGGTTGATTTTTACATCTAGCAGGCTTGGAAAACCGAGTTGTTTTTTTCGGCGGGAAATTTGAATGTTTGGCTATTTGAATTTTTATTTAAAACAAGGAAATATAACCGAAAATTGTTTAAATTTTATATTTTTTTGATTTTAAAAGGATTATATACGTAATATTGTCCATTAAAAATCAAAAAATATAAAATTTCGACAATTTTCGGTTATTTTCCACTAATTAAGTGGAAAAACACACATTTTTGTTTTTTTAATAAATATATTTAACAAAATATACACTTAATTCAATTTTAAATTAAAGTATAACTAACAAATAATATTTAAATGAGGAGAAATTCTATAACTTTTAGTGATATTTAAAAAAAGGTTTATCAAACATGTATAATAATTTATAATTATTTAGGTATAATTTATCAAAAAGTATGACATTAAATTGATAATTACCCTCTTATATATGCTTACAAGACAATTATCGCTTGATTACAGCGATAATGTTCAGAAATTTTAATTTTGTGTTACATAATAACAATTTTTATAGGTTTTTTAAGATTTTTTAATAAAAATGCAAAGGTTTATAAACAAATTAACTCTAAAACATATTACAAACCATCAAAATATTTGATAAATTCTTGATAAACAATAGTTCAATACTTATTGGTCCTTATTAGAAAACAACCTTTTAAAACAGTTCAAGTATATTATATAATTAAAATTATTTTAACTTTGAATATGTTATTCATAAAAATAAATAATTTTGTAATACATAGGTACTGACTTATTGTATACCTATAGGTATTTCCAAATTTCTTTATTGGAATAAACCAAAAGGCTAATGCCTAAAATGTTTAATGCAATAATTAGACTTATTACAAACCATACTCTTATAATTTTTAGGAATTATGATTATAATTTGTTTTTAAAATAAGCACAATACTGTAGTTTTGTAAAATATAGAATTTTTGGCAAAAAGGAATTCCTACTTATCCAAAAATTAAATTACATTCTTTGGAATATTTAATTTTTAGTAAAATTGGTTTAATTAAAATTAATAATCAATAGAACCACTTAAATCTCAATGTTAAAAATATTGTTATTATGTATGTATTTGGCAAAATTAAAATCTTTATGTATGATTTAACTTTCTGGTCAATATTAAGTATTAATTGTCTTTTATCTTGTTCATGATTCATGGATTGAACCTGCGTCTTTTTCTTGATTCAATGAAGAATATTCAACTGCAATTAATATTTTCTATGTTCTTTTGCAAAGAAGTTTGATAAATTCAAGTCCTGTCTGCTTCTTCCATTAACACAAACCCAAACCTGAAATCAATACCAATTTTAAAATCAATTTAAATTGTAAAACAATTGATATTACCTAATAATTTTTAAAATTAAATAAAAATAATGGATCAATATTTATGCTACTTATTTATGCTAAAGGTAATTGTTTTACCAGCATAAAAATAATTGAATGGTTTATTGTAAAAACAAGCTAAGTAACTAACTAAATATGATTTTGTTTATTTTTTAATTTAAAAATCTTATAAAAACTAATAATGGTTGACTTGCGCTGTTTTAACATGAAAATATCCTTTTTTAATATCCTAATAAAAATCCTAAATAAAATATTTCTGCCTCAAAATATTAATTTAAAGCAGAAGTGTATGTAATATAAAAATGTAAGATTGCTTGTTTTAACAATAAACAATTTAATTATATTTGGAGTAAATACTAAAAGTGTACTTTCTTTAATGGTCAGGCTTTTACTTTTTTTATATTTGGATTGTCACTATGGATGTGTGAATATTGAATTCAAGAATTATTTGAATAGTTTGAATGTTTCAAATTTTGAAATGGTTCAATTAGAAAATTAAAATTTTCCAATAGTAATTGAAGAAATGGAACATTGAAATTGTAATTTAAAATTTATTTTGAAATAAAAAGAATGTTATTTACTTGTCATTAACCCTTAATTAACTTATTTGAATAGATTATGATTGTAATTATTGAACTATTCAAATAATTCAAACTATTTATGTAGTTTAAATATTTAATTTTAAGTTTGAATTAAATATTACTACTTAATTTATTTGGTAAAAATATTCACACACCACCAATTGTAACTAAAAATGTATTCTAAATTTAAAAAAATATATCTACCTATTATTAAAAAAATTTGGCCAAATATTTCTATTTGGGATTGACGAGTAAAGCTTTCATTCTTTTTCTTCATGCAGGATAAATCTTGTCTAATTGTTCCATTATTGCAGAAGCTAAAATTAATTATATTAAATTAAAATCAATTTATATTGTAGCAAAAAATAATTGAATTAAAAACTTTAAAAATAATTCTTTAAAAGGTTTGCTTATGAATTGTCTAGTTATTTATGTACATTAAAAATGTCAGACTTTCAGATAGAACAAATGAAGGGGTGAATGCAAGAATTCTTGCACTTAATTGCCTAAGTCGCATTTTCAATTAAATTTACATTGTGGCTTCATCTAAGAGTGTTTCATGTAAGGTTTCAGGTGGTATTTTCAAAGTGGCAGAAATATGTGCCCAAGTGCCTTAGTTTGTATTTACTTCAATGGGAGTTTGCCTGGTTTTCAACTTATGTGAAAACTCTTGGATGAAGCCACATTAACAATTTAATTGAAAATGTGACAGACACTTCTTGCATTGACCCCTTCAAATAAAATAACTATAAAAATACTGTAAAAGATTATCACCCTGTATAAAATGCTATATTTATGTAAAAAAAACATGGAAAGCATAAAACATTTGTAATATAATCAAGTTTTGAACTGTATGCTTACAAGTGTTTAATATGACCTCTTCCAGCTGCAAACATCTTGTAGATACTCGGCAGTTCCAATTCGTGTATTTAGCTTTTACAAATCTTGGGGCTCATAAACGTTATCTTTTATAAAGCCCCAGAGAAAGAAGTCACACACTGTGAGATCGGTTGAATGTGTTGACCATACATGAAGTGCCAAATTGTTGGGCCCTTTACGTCCGATCCACCGATGAGGGGGCTGTTCGTTCAATAACCTCCGCTCCACCAAATGCCAATGTAGTGGGGCCCTGGACCCAGGTCCAGTTTTCGCGTAGCTACATCAAATAATTTTAACAAAAACATACATTTTGACAAAGATTATAGGTATATTTAACATTTTGTATGACAGCAACTAGTGTCGAGAAAAAAACGTAAAAAACTGTTTTGATTGAAAGTTTTGAATCAAAACGCTTTAAAACTATTTAAATTCTATCAAAACTTGCATTAGTTAAACAACCCATAAGCAAAGAGTAAGAGTCTTTACTCTTTGCCATAGGTTTCATTACATAAAAAGAATTTTATTAACTACATGTGTTTTCGGTAAACATAGAGAAAAAAACCGATACGGTTTATCACACGTATTTTCTTATTTTAAACGCGGTAATGATGCTACAACTAACTAAAACTTGACTAAAAACACCTAATAAAATGTTAAAGCCGAAATTAACAAGTTTACTTACCTAAAACAAAGAAAATTTGGATTATAAAACTTCGTACACACCACTTCAACAACGCTGTCGGCCATTTGTAATTTCTCAAACCGAACATCAACGAACAAGTTGGAAAAGACCAATCACAACAAAGTAAGAATCACGTGGTTAATAACTGGGGTTTGTCAAAAACAACTTGGGTTTCAACGCATGCTAGATTTATTTTACTGTTGCCTGTTGTCAAATTCCCCTTATACCACCCTGTTTAAAACGTCAAATCTTGTTGCACACTGGGATGAGATTTGTTTTTAGGTGGCAAATAAAACTTCTTACATACCGTTAATAATAATATTAACAACAATAATAATGGGCTTTGGGTAATACAATGGTATTGCTGATAAATTAAATAAAAATACACACAAAACTTGACTTTTATTTCGATATTTCCACCCAAAAATCACCGTGTCCACCAAAAATTTATTTTTACCCACCGTGCGGATTTCTCTGTTACACGTACTTGTGGAAGTTTTATAATCTGTGATTGTGTTTATAAAGGTTTTATATTTTGTTTTTTGGTTAATAATAACACTATTTTGTGATCATTAATATAAGTAGTAGAGTTTTCATACATACATAATGGAGCAAATAGTAAAAAAAGAACTTGAAGAACTAGTAGACGATTCCAAAGGTGATATTTCGATGAATTATGATAAACCAAGTACCTCTGCTGACAAAGAAATGCCTTTTACCTTTAGGATATCAATAAAACAAGAAATCAAAGAAGAATTAGATGAAGAAAGTTACAATCCGGATGATAGAGGTGAAACTAAAGATATAATAAGGGTGTATATTAAGGAAGAAAGAAGGGAAAGTGACTTTTCTGAGGAATATGATAACAATAAAGAGGAACAATATGTAAAACTGAGAGAAAAGCTGTTTAAATGTGAAATTTGTTCTAAGAAATATCAAACCGAGGACAGTTTATGTAACCACAAAAAGCACGTTCATAAAGATATGCAGGAACTATTTAATTGTGCCCAGTGCAAATATCAAACTTTGAGAAAAAGTGACTTCAAGAAACATTTAAAAATACACGATAAGAAAACCTATTATTTAAAATGCCAATATTGTCCATATACAGCTGCTGAAGTGAAGAGTTTGAATTCACACCTTCTTAGCAAACACAAAGAAGAAAATAAAACAAAAATAACAAGTAAAATACATCATTGCGCCAAATGTTTGTATTCAACTGTAAATAAATCAAGTTACAATGATCACATAAAAGTTTGTTTGAAATTGAAAAATATCCAGTGGTATCAATGCGAATTTTGCAGATATAAAACTATTCATAAAAGTCATTTAACAACCCACATAAAAACCCATAATAGAGTGAAAGAGTTGAAATGTTTATTTTGCATTTACCAATGTAACAAAAAACAAAGTTTGGACAGCCATATCTTAATTAAACATTCTAATTTATTGAACGAAACCAATAAAAATATAATCACTTCTAGAGGTGGGTTGCTATCGCGTAAGCTGCTATTTTTTAACAGTTATTTTGCTGAAGCAGCTATCACTGTTACCCGGTTTTAAAAAAAGCTGCTACCAACAACATAACCTAACTCCGCCGTTTGTGATCGCATTTAACGTATTGTTTCGAATTCCGCTATATCAAAAAGCTGCTACTCGGCCTTGGACAGCGCCACTGCTGTTTGATGTCGGGATTTAAGTAAAATCATTTTACTAACGGAGGTAAAGTTACAGCATAATTAATAATATGTTATACACTTTAAATAAAAATGAGTTTTAATTTGCAGCCGAGTAAAAAAAATTTTAATTTTTAAACTCGGATTTTTAATACTAAAATTTATTCATATCTAAGCTATTTTTAATTTTTTAAACCTAATCCTAGCATAGAAAATCATTATTAACAACATTATAATTTCCAATCATTGCAAAAGATCGCGATTATTTGCTAGTAAAGATCTCTGTGAACTCTCCCTAGACGTTTGTAAGCCAAGCAGAAGCGATTCGCTACTATAGCGCTACATGTTGTATCATGATAGCGCTATAGCAAACCCAAATAGCCGTTTTAAAATGAAACATGCGCAAGAAACACGCGTGCCGCTGTCAGCGGCTGTGGTCCATTCCCACGAGCACCGTTTCGGATAAACTGCTTCTTTTAAGCAGCTATTTGATAGCTGCTACTTAAAAAAAGCGGTAACTGTTTTAACTGCTACTTAAAAATAGCGGTTTAGCCCACCACTAATCACTTCTAAATTACATTCATGTGAACATTGTAACTATAAAACCACACTTGCCAACAATTTAAAACTCCATTTAAAATGTAATCACTAGTTTGTTAATAAATTATTACCAATTTTGATTTATTATTATTTATATTTATGTTACACAATACTTGAACCATTATTATGTTTGCAAACTACGAAATATTATTTGCTGCGTCAACTTTTTAAATATAGTGGGTTTTAACTTTTCCGAATAGATGGCGCTGCTAACTTAAATTTAAAATGTTTTAAATAGGCAACAAAGATTACTTTAAATTGTATTTTTTGACTTTTTTCGTTAAAACCGGGAAATTGGGACTTCAGAAAGCAATATTTTATTTTATTTACACTGAGATTCAGTGATTATTTATTATATTTATAATGAAAAGCTGCCATTGGTCCAAAATCGTATGGTTGATATTCAAAATATCCTCTAGATTCAGGTGGTGGATACAAAGTTATATCATGCATTGGGTCTGCGGAATCAGCTGGTTGGGTGTACCATGGCGAGCGTACATGGTAGGGTTCTAAAAATAATAAAATATACTTACTATATTACTATGTAATACATAGTATGTATTTTAAAAAATACAATATATTATATTATATTAAGTTACTTACGAGCTTGGCAACTAAAGTTAATTAAGACAACATCTAGTACACAGGGAAATAGTACAAAAATCAAAATCTTCATGTTTATTGTTTAACCAATCTTATTGGAATACCTTAAGTTTTTTGTTGTTGTCCTTTATATACCAACATTTATTAAGTTTCACTTTTTATAGTAAAAAAATTAAATTTAATTGTTAAAATGTATAAACCACGCATAGGTTATTTTGATAAAGGTATCAATAAAAATGTAATGATCCAAAAAATATTTAAATGGTTTTTATTCAAAGTCTATAGACTTTATAAACACCTGTATGGCCTAAATTTACCATATTCCAAAAATAAAAACGTAATTTGAAGGATAAAATTAAAAATCGAATTTGTTAGTAAATTAATTAGTAATTTAAAATAAAAAAATTAAACCGGGTTTGAAGATCAGTAAAAAATTTGTTATTTATAAGCAAAACATTTTAAAATAAAACTGTTTCTATAAGAATTACAAAATGCTTAATTTACGCTGGTTCTGTCAAAACAAATAATTAAAAAATATTATCCCAAATTAAAATAAAAATGAGGACGAAAGAAATCCAAAAAGGGTATACCCTTTTGGTTTATAAACCAAAATACCAACTTAAAGTTTATGTAGACCAATTTATTTTATTTTTTAAGATGGTAATAACAATGGTATAATAAGGTATAATAGTATAATAGGTTTGGCTATAGGTATAACTGTAATTATAGTTTTGTTATTTTTATCTGAGACAATAAGTATTTTTTTTGTGTGTAACCTCTTAATGTACAAATTTTGGGTAAATAAATGTGTTTATTATTTATTATTATTATTATTATTATTATTATTATTATTATTATTATTATTATCTGAGGTGTACATTATAAGTGTTGTTTTCAGTAACTTTTAAGATACAATTTCTATGGGGTATTAAAACTAAAACCTTTATATTAGCCATCATTTTTTTACATTTTACTAGACAGGCATATTTTTTATCGATTTATAATACCAAAAGTTCAATATCCCATGAATTTATTTTTTTATTTTGGTTTTAAATCTCTTGTTTCACATGACCGTCCCTCGAGCATAATCCAATGTTTAGGCCCAAATGGCGACAGTTAATTGTGCAGCTCAGTGTATTTTGATATCGAAAAGGTATATTAACATGACCGTCTTTAGTGATAAAAAAGCAACATAAATTGCTCGCTATGTTTTTTTGTTTTCGGTTGTTTACCGGTGGAAACTCTTAACCTAAAATAAAAGTATGCGACGGTCATGTTAAAAAATTTTTTTCTTAAAAGATGGTGAAAACCACCCTTATATATATGGATCATTTTGAAAATTAATGTTTTAATTATTTCCTTGATTTTTTTATAGCATCATTTAAAGTCTGGAGAATATTCGAACCAAGTTACGATGAAGAAGATGGAATGGAATATTGTGCCAAATATGTATTAATTTTTTATTTTTGAAACGTTTTTTGGCAATTGTTTTCTATTTTACAAAAATTAAAATTAAAATAACAAAAATAAAATTCCATTTTTAAGACCTTATAACTCAAAAATTACTCGTCGGAAATTTAACCTCAAGGTTAAAGAGTTTTTATAAAATGACTTCGAAATTTAATATATAAATTTACATTTGTTTTTATACGTCATGTTTTTATTTTGTATCTTACCATACAAAATAAACTAAATAATCAATTTTTAAGCTATCAACATGATCCTATTTTGTTTCTCGAGGTTGGAAACGATTTTTTTAAATAATCTGTGGGAAATAACACTTGCACAAGTGTTATTTTCCATAGATTCTTATAAAAATTCGTTTTTAAACTCGATCAGCCAAAGAGGATCATGTTAATGACTTAAACATTGATTATTACAGTATATTTAAAAGAATGTTCTTTGGATGTTAAAAAAAATGTTTGTTATCCCCCTTTAAGCTCCTTATTTTTGAGTTCTGAAAGTCTTCTACTTTTTGAAAATAATTGTCCACTGCGAATTTGTCCTCCTATTTTTTAAAATTTATCCCACTGTGCGAATTTGTCCTCCTAATTTTTAAATTTATCCCACTGTGCGAATTTGTCCTCCTAAATTTTAAATTTATCCCACTGTGCAAATTTGTCCTCCTAAATTTTAAATTTATCCCACTGTGCAAATTTGTCCTAAATTTTAAATTTATCCCACTGTGCAAATTTGTCCTCCTAATTTTTAAATTTATCCCACTGTGCGAATTTGTCCTCCTAAATTTTAAATTTATCCCACTGTGCAAATTTGTCCTCCTAAATTTTAAATTTATCCCACTGTGCAAATTTGTCCTAAATTTTAAATTTATCCCACTGTGCAAATTTGTCCTCCTAAATTTTAAAATTATCCCACTGTGCAAATTTGTCCTCCTAAATTTTAAATTTATCCCACTGTGCAAATTTGTCCTCCTAAATTTTAAATTTATCCCACTGTGCAAATTTGTCCTCCTAAATTTTAAATTTATCCCACTGTGCAAATTTGTCCTCCTAAATTTTAAATTTATCCCACTGTGCGAATTTGTCCTAAATTTTAAATTAATCCCACTGTGCGAATTTGTCCTCCTAAATTTTAAATTTATCCCACTGTGCGAATTTGTCCTCCTAAATTTTAAATTTATCCCACTGTGCAAATTTGTCCTCCTAAATTTTAAATTTATCCCACTGTGCGAATTTGTCCTCCTAAATTTTAAATTTATCCCAATGTGCGAATTTTTCCTCCTAAATTTTAAATTAATCCCACTGTGCGAATTTGTCCTCCTAAATTTTAAATTTATCCCACTGTGCGAATTTGTCCTTTGAACAGCGCCATCTGTTATCCGGTAACCAAACGGGCATGCATAATACTGATACTGTGCGAATTTGTCCTCCTAAATTTTAAATTTTTTCCACTGTGCAAATTTGTCCTCCTAAATTTTAAATTTATCCCACTGTGCGAATTTGTCCTCCTAAATTTTAAATTTATCCCACTGTGCGAATTTGTCCTAAATTTTAAATTTATCCCACTGTGCGAATTTGTCCTCCTAAATTTTAAATTTATCCCACCGTGCAAATTTGTCCTCCTAAATTTTAAATTTATCCCACTGTGCGAATTTGTCCTAAATTTTAAATTTATCCCACTGTGCGAATTTGTCCTCCTAAATTTTAAATTTATCCCAATGTGCGAATTTTTCCTCCTAAATTTTAAATTAATCCCACTGTGCGAATTTGTCCTCCTAAATTTTAAATTTATCCCACTGTGCGAATTTGTCCTTTGAACAGCGCCATCTGTTATCCGGTAGCCAAACGTTAAATTTACAGAAAACATGAAAACTAAATTTTTAAAAAATTCAAAAATATTGTCACTCAGTGTACATGACATCGAGTAGTTTAAATGTCCTACACTGCATGACATAATTTTTAAACCACGCCTAATTTAATTGTTTTTTGCCATACAATACCTACACAAAAACAAAGCTAAGATGTATATTTGTCACATTAACAACAAAAAAAACACATTTTCAACAAATATAACATATATTTCAATAAATACACTCTATTCCTCTAATTTTAAAGGCACCATGTTAATTTCTTGACACAATTCTTGCACATTTTGCTCCCACCTTTTCTCAAAATAAATATTTAGTAGGAAATCCATATTTTTACCAGTCTGTATAGCCCAGGGCAGATATTTTTCAGTGTATAATTTCCTGTGCTTGGGTTTTAATCTTCCTGCCCCGAATATGGCCCCCCCTATGCACATGGGGAGTTTTGTTTGTATTGCCTTCACCCACTTGACTGTAACTTCACCTAACATATGAGTGGGCATGCATAATACTGATACTGTGCGAATTTGTCCTCCTAAATTTTAAATTTATCCCACTGTGCAAATTTGTCCTCCTAAATTTTAAATTTATCCCACTGTGCGAATTTGTCCTCCTAAATTTTAAATTTATCCCACCGTGCGAATTTGTCCTCCTAATTTTTAAATTTATCCCACTGTGCGAATTTGTCCTAAATTTTAAATTTATCCCACTGTGCGAATTTGTCCTCCTAAATTTTAAATTTATCCCACTGTGCGAATTTGTCCTCCTAAATTTTAAATTTATCCCAATGTGCGAATTTTTCCTCCTAAATTTTAAATTAATCCCACTGTGCGAATTTGTCCTCCTAAATTTTAAATTTATCCCACTGTGCGAATTTGTCCTTTGAACAGCGCCATCTGTTATCCGGTAGCCAAACGTTAAATTTACAGAAAACATGAAAACTAAATTTTTAAAAAATTCAAAAATATTGTCACTCAGTGTACATGACATCGAGTAGTTCAAATGTCCTACACTGCATGACATAATTTTTAAACCACGCCTAATTTAATTGTTTTTTGCCATACAATACCTACACAAAAAGAAAGCTAAGATGTATATTTGTCACATTAACAACAAAAAAAACACATTTTCAACAAATATAACATATATTTCAATAAATACACTCTATTCCTCTAATTTTAAAGGCACCATGTTAATTTCTTGACACAATTCTTGAACATTTTGCTCCCACCTTTTCTCAAAATAAATATTTAGTAGGAAATCCATATTTTTACCAGTCTGTATAGCCCAGGGCAGATATTTTTCAGTGTATAATTTCCTGTGCTTGGGTTTTAATCTTCCTGCCCCGAATATGGCCCCCCCTATGCACATGGGGAGTTTTGTTTGTATTGCCTTCACCCACTTGACTGTAACTTCACCTAACATATGAGTGGGCATGCATAATACTGATACTGTGCGAATTTGTCCTCCTAAATTTTAAATTTATCCCACTGTGCAAATTTGTCCTCCTAAATTTTAAATTTATCCCACTGTGCGAATTTGTCCTCCTTAATTTTAAATTTATCCCACTGTGCAAATTTGTCCTCTTAAATTTTAAATTTATCCCACTGTGTGAATTT